GAGTGTCATAAAAAAGGAAACAAATTTATATAAAAATTATCTTTATTAATAATAAAATGTGTGAAAATGTTAATAAAAAAGAGCTTTCTGTTTATATGTTTATTATACCTAGATTGTCAAGTTTTTTTAGAAAAAGAAACTAAGTCCTGTTTGGCCAGGGTCTAGAGATTCAGGAACACTTGTACTCTTGTGTGAAAAGTGAATTGGGAAAACTGATTGAGAGGAAAATCTGCCTTTATGCTTTTGAAATTTTAAAAGTAAATATTCCATGACTTTGTAATTGCTACTTCTTGGCTAAGATCTCCTCTGTAAAAGGATTTTTGCAGTACTGATTATAAGTTAAAATCCCTAATTAATTATATTGATACATTATTTGGATTAATTAAAGAGAAATCATCTGTTCCAAGGACTATTCTATGCAATCACAAAATGGGATGAAAGAGATCATACCGATATTATGATATTGTTCAAATTTATTGAGCACCTGTGATATTCCAGGCACCATTCTAAGTGCCTTACATATTGATATATTCACTCATCTAATCCTTTCAAACACCTTGTGATTTAGATACCATCATGGAGAAGAGGAAATTGAGATAGTGAGAGATTAAGGAATTTGCCCAAGGTTCTGTAACTCGTAAGGGGCATAACCTTGAAATTTGTTATCAGACAACCTGACTGGAGAGCCTGTTCCTTGATTAGCTATGAACGCTGCAATAGGTGGATACGGCATGTTCCTTGAAAACACAGAGGAAGAGCTGTTAATATATATCTGTCCTGAAGGGTTGCTAAAGGCCTGTGGACTTTGGAAACATTAAAAACAAGTGATAAAGTCCAGGCTTTGTGGGGATGAGGGAAGGACACAGAGGGGATGACTGTTGGAACTAAAAATTGGGATCTCTCAGAATCTGTAACATTTGGTTTGTAAGGGTCTTTATCCTTGATGCTGCCCTTTTTTTTTTTTTAATGAGTGGGGTTTGAACCCAGGGCCTCATACATGCAAAGCATACGCTCTACCACTGAGCTACATTGCCACTCTCCTGCCCTTCTTTCAATGGAGGTTGGTTGTAGGATTGAGGTTACATGTGCTTGATATTGTAGGAGTCAGTGACATTCAAGGACGTGGCTGTGGTCTTCACCAGGGAGGAGCTGGGGCTGCTGGACCCTGCCCAGAGGAAGCTGTACCGAGATGTGATGGTGGAGAATTTCAAGAACCTGGTTGCCGTGGGTGAGGACAGGCACCATCTGACACTTAACTTCAACTCCTTTGAGAGTCCCCGTGTGCTCAGTTGTTTAGTGCTTTGGACCCTTCGAAATGGTTCCCTGCTCTTGAAGATAAAAGTTGTTCTAATCCCTGGGATAACAGGGATAGATTTTTCTGGTCTTTCTGCTCAGGCAGAATTCCGTCCTTTTAAATCACTGGTTCTCAATCAGGGGTGATTTTGTCCCCAGAGGACATTTGGCAATGTCTGGAGACAGTTGGTTGTCACAACTGGGGGAGAGGTGCTTTTGGCATCTAGTGGGTAGTCGCCAGGGATGCTGCTAACTTCCCTACAATGCACAGGTCAGCCCCCA